TTCGAGAGGGTGAGTGCTTTTCCCAAGGACACATAGCTAGTAAGTGGTAGAAACTAGATTTAAAATAATCACTTTTTCTAATTGTAAAGTTTGTAAAGGTTTATGTCCCCATAAAGGTTTACTTAGTATCTCAATGTAATTGAATATTTTAAAAAACAGTTTTATAGTTCTCTGTAAACAATACTTACATTATTCTTCATTTATCTATTTAAACCTAGTGAGAGTTATGTTAAATTATCTTAGAATCATTCCTTTTTTGTGTGATGTGATTTCTTTTGTCTTGGCATATTATAGGTCAGCATTTCCCAAATTTGTGCCTTGGAATACTAATTCTGTAAAAAAAGTTTTACATGGCTACAGAAGTTTGGAAAAATGCTTGTTTAATCAAATTCAATATGTCTCTTTATTAGAGTCTTTAATATTTTAATGTCTATTTTACATTTCTGAGAGAGGGATGTGGGATGCAACATTTCTCAAAAGTACCTGACAAGAGACCCTTTTTCAGGTGAGCGTCTTATAGGGCCACTGTTCTTTGGAACACACTTTGGGTACTGTTTAAATGTCCAGAGTGCATTTCGATGTAAAGAATATTCCTCCATTTTGGAAAGTTCTACCTCATGCTTTACTTAATCTTTCCCAATATTATGTGTATTTTTATATTCCTGTGGGGGAAAAGCGTGCACATGACAGAAGTTGGATGGAAACTGTAGAAATAATCTAGACAATTATTTCTTAATTATTAGGTAGTAAACCAATAGTAATTGGAGAGAGCATTAGAATCCTCAGATGACACATAAAAAAGTTGTTCATTCTCATGAGTAGTTTTAGTTTCCCCCTACGATAGAGACTAAACAGAAAGTGGTTTGTGGATTGCAAAGGATCATCTGTCCAATTGCTTTATTACTTATGCTGCCTTATAGGAATCAATGGTCAGAAATGGGGCAGAAGGTAAAGGAGCCCAGGTAACAACTGGCTCGGTTAATGAGTCCTGGATAACTGAGAACTGAATGTACTTCAGTCAGTGTGGAATGTTGAAGGTCCTGAAAGGAGTAAAGTCCCCCTGAGATCTAGTAATGAAAATCCCTCTTGGGTTTCTTTCTTGAACTGCTTACATGCATATTTACATCACCTAATGTAAATATAAGACTCATTATAACATTATTTTCTTGCAAACACTTGTCCTCATTTCTTGCTAAAGGCAACATTTCTGAAGGGCTCTGTTGTTATAGCTATATAGTAATTGGGAGTAACTCTTTACTAATGCTATGTATGATTTCTTTATACCTAGCTCACACTCAGATGGCATCTCCTAGTTTCAACCATGAATTTCTCACCCAACTGTCTCAGCAGTGCCCTGAATCTAGAGACCACAATGTAGTTGGAGATCTGGTGGGAGCATGGAAAATGAAAACTTTATGGAGGCTTTAATTCTCCAAATAAAACTAAGTACCTCCTCCACAAATCATCACACAGATCAGAAACCTGACCATGTCCTATTTGAACAGCACAAGTAAAAGAGAAGCTTTTAAAAGCTTCTCAGAGATTCTGTGGGTGTAGTTGGCTCAGGTCTACAGAAGGTATGCTCTACTTTCTTCGAAGAATAGTGCAGAGGAAGGTTAAAATTCAGGGTGAGATTAAAGTTCATTGCCCAGTCCTAATGTAAGGGCTGGAGACAAAAATGAGGTGTGGCAGGAAGACAGGGCTTGAAAGCAGAAAATCCAGGTTGGAGTCCTGATTCTGTCTTTTCCCGGCATTGTGACCTTGGGCAAGTCACCTACTCTCAATGGTATCTGCTAAAATAGGGATGAAAAAGAGATAGTGGATGTGAAATTGCATTGTAAACTATAAATATATAAGGTTTATTATTGTTGTTTTTGTTGTAATTGGTTAAGTACCCTTAGGGATGCTCAGGGAATTCTTGGAGGTGAAAAGTTTGAGGGTGAATATCACAAAGACCCAGCACCACGGAGGAGTCTTGTAAAGGGACAATTCAAAGAGAAGGGAACTGATGTCAACTGCTGTTTTTCTTGTGCTTGTTTTTAAACTGTTCATATGGAGAGGGAGAGAAAGAAAGGAAGGGAGGTAAGGGGAAGGAAGTCTCTTCTGAAGGGTTAAAGCAAGATAGTGCTGTAAAGTGATTCCAGATGTACAAATATTAATATCTCTCTCTCCCTGATGAATGAGAAGGTATGACCCAGTTAGGAAACTGCTAAAATTACTGGCGCCACTGAGACCTCAGTTGATGGCCCAGCTCAGATTTTTATCCTTACCCCGGCAACTGTAATGCTGATGAAGGGCTCGGACCTGCTGCAGCAGACCTTCCAAAACTTCACTCTGTCCCTTGTGTCGGGGCTCTCTGTCGTCATAGTCTTTCCAGTCTATTGAACAAAAGAAACAAACAAAGTGAATTTTAAAGCAGGGGAGGGCTCTTCCCTGCCCTGCCTCAGGAGTCGGAGTTCTGCTCATACTACCCACAGACTGTGGATGAGCACCCAGCACATGCAGAGTTAGCCGCCAATGCCAAGTGTTTGGAAGCTGCCATTGTTCAGAGCCCTGTGCAAAACAGTAATTGTGGTTGGTTTCTTGTGTTGGGCAGTTTTACGGCAAGAGAAAATGGTAATTGAAAGCCAAAAGAAAATAGGAAATTTGGGAGTCCGTCACCCCTTTCCCAGCCCTCTCCCCCACTTTTCAGTATCCCATGTCCTAATCAGTTCCCCTGTAGAACTCAGCACCCTAAGTCTCAACTGGATTTCCACAGAGGAAAGAAAGAAGTGGGAATTTGCAGACTAGATGAAATCCATAGTCCCAAAGCTTTTACTGTAGGTTTCACACTTTTGGCCAAATTGACATTTCTTTCCAAGCTAAGAGCCCATGTCAGATGCCAAGAAATGGAAATCTACATTTTGCTCTAATGAATGTCTGCTTTGGGTAGCTGGCACAGCGAGCCCTGCACATACTCTGAGCCACCAACCACCCTGTCTGCTCAGTTTCTAAATATACGGTATTAGCTTACATGGCAAATTTAAATTGCAATACCCACTGAGATTTTTCTCCCCCTTCTATTTTCATTCTGTTTGGCTATGATGATATCAAGAGTAATAACCCATATGGGACTAATGTCAAGATTATAATTCTGCTGTCTCCAACTCTCATTATTTTTTTTTTAAGCAGGTCAGTCATTTCGTAGGTCATCCCTTCTTCCCTCTATAGTCTTTTCCCCATTTTTCCTTTCTGAGCCTTTCAAAAGTGACAACTTGAAGTGTTTCTTAGTTGAAATTTTTTCTCTAAAAATGCTAGTTATTCTTCCCCAGAAAAGCCAGTTAGTTCATGAATATATCTAGGGCTTAAATTCTAGTTGAACAAGTTTCAAATACCCTCCTCCACATATTCATTTTAAAATATGGGGTCTTCTTCATTCATAAACTTAAGTGGATGTCATGACGGTTAAAGTTAGATAAGTGCATTCCACATCGGTCCATCCAAGGCCCAGGAGTATAGAACAGCACAGTTAGGAGAAACACAGATTCTGGAGTCAGGTAAACCTGGGCATGAATCCTGGCTCTTCTGATTCCTAGCTCAGTGTCTGTGGGCAACTTACTTACACCAGAAGGGCCTCTACATCCTTATTATTATTATAAGGGTGTAGAGGCCCTTATATGAAAAATAAGGACAATATCTACTTTGCAGGGTTTTTGTGAGAATTAAATGAAAAATATATTAGGAATCTGGTGTAATGCTTATTACATGACAGGTGTCCCATAAATAATAACTTAAAGTGAAGGGAATTCATAATGGAAACACCATTTCGTACTCTCTCAGATGATCACCTATGAAGAAGGGGTCCCTCAGAGACTCCTTTCTAATCCTCTTCCTTCTCATCCTCCCCCATGTACTTTTCTCCATTGCACCTTTCAGAAGACAGGCCCAGAGATAACCACTCCAGTCCTAAATTACTCAGCTTTTTGGAGGCATAGGGCTACAATGTAGTCTTATGGCCCTCCATACAGTGCTCATTTCAATATACCATGGACATGTTACTTTTCTTTTGGGAAGGAGGGCCAGAAGCTTGGTTGGAGTTTGTGTGTTATGGCTTAGTTATGGTCAACTCTTGGAGACAGGGGATTGGCATAGGTGCCTTTTGTAGAATCTTTGTTCCTTGTAGGAAAGAACTGTGACTTAAATTCTCTTTGCCTCAGGTTTCTTCTCTGTAAAGTGAGTTTTAAAAATATCTTTTTAGGTTATTCGAGGTTTAAAAGAAATAATGTAACTAAAGCACCATCCTGGGCACGCAGGAGACACTCATCAAATGTTGAAGAAGCATGATGGTGTTTGGGTAGGATAAAATATGGAAGGATTTTTGCTGGAAAACTTGCAAATATTTGAGGAAATAAACTCCTAGTGGCTCTCAGACTATTGGTAGTGCCCCTGACATTCACGGCCCTCATGGATACCTAAAGGCCATTATGAGTTTGTTCTCTTAGTGGGATGAATGAATCTGAAGTGCTCATGATAAGATGATCTAGGTTGTGTGCCTGAGCCAGACTCCTTGGTGGATTACTATGTGGCCCTGAACATGCTAATACATTATAATGAGAGTTAATGCTGCCATGAATGCAAGGAGAGATGAAATGGGCCTTGCTCTTTCAGCTGAGCCCTGTTACATCAGAAGTAAATTTGATCTGATGATTTTATGATACATTAGAAAATTGTTAATGCTAAATTGCAGCCCAAGTGAGCACTAAACATGATGCCAAGGTTTTCGGAAAGAATGAGTTTTTCTTATAGATGTTTGGAAGGTTCTGACGACTACATAAAATAGGAGATTTTAGGGATGAGGGAGAAAATTGAAAATATATTAAGAAATCAGGAACCTGACAGGAATAAACTTAGCATGGTAGGAAAAGAGCAGATTGTGCCACATAGTACAGTTCACTGTTCTGGTAATGAGACACTTCAAATGCAACACAATGCAGAGCTTACATTCACTGGCGATATCAGGGTTTTCTTGATCGTAACTCAGACAAGCCTGTCTGGGTCCTTTTCTCTTATTATGTACCATACCATATAACATAAGTCTATAAAAACACATTAAGGCCTTTTGTAAAATGTAAAAAAAGTTTTATAGCTTACTGGAACATATTACCAAATTTCCAATTTACTTTGTCATGTTCGGATACGTTGTTCTGTAGTATATCTGAATACTGATATATGTAACATCACGATATCATACTCCGTTTATAAATAGAACAGGAGTGTTTTTATATTGTTCTTTACAAGTGATATGGCACGTCTGCAGCAACTATAACCACATGTTAGGATTTCAGTTCTTTCCCAGTTACCCCTACTAATCAAACATACCATTTTAGAAAGTGTTGCTATTTGATATGTTAATTGCTAATTTATAAGTGACTCGTCCCAATCCTGAACAACTGTTCTTGTCATTCTGGAGACAGCTCTTCAAATGGGCTGTGAGAGATAACGTCTAAATAGAATTTTCATTTTATAGAACCTGAGCATCTGAACTTTATAAGCAAATGCATCCATATGAAGATCAGAATTTGCGTGGAGTATGCATTTGGAGTGGGTTCCCCCCGCCTTACTTTCAGATCAACTGAGACAACTATTTTTGTGCTTTTCTATTCCTCTGTTCCACCATCTGCAATAATACACAGTCCCATTCACCACCCACCCATGGGATTGGTTCCTTTAATATCTTAGTCTTGCAATTCCCAGTTTGTGTTTCTGATAAATCTTCAATAAGAAAGATGTCTCAATAAGACTGGAATAACTAAATCATCAAATGCAAGGGGAGTCAGGGGTCTTGAAGATTTCTGGCATTGGCGATCCAAGGCCCTGAATTACTTGGTATAGCCAATTGAATCTACCGAGAGTAGTAGTCAGGCATGGTTAGCTGGCTCTTCTTTATCTGCTTGTCTGCCTGAGAGCATACTAGTTACCACAGCGCAGGAGACATGGCAGTACCTTGACCAATTCAGGCTTGAATCCTGGCTCAGCCATGTACCAGTGTTGTGACCTTGGGAAAGGCAACATCCTCTCTGTATTAGTCCGTTTCTGTTGCTTATAACAAAATATCTGGAACTGGGTAATTTATAAGAAAACTAAATTTATTGCTTACAGTTTCAGAGGCTAGGAAGTCCAAAGTCCAGGAAACACATCTGGTGTAGGCTTTCTTTGGTGGTGACTTCAGTGATCACATTGTAAAAATGGCAGAGCAGAGAGAGAGAGACAGATTCTCCTGTCTCTTCTTTTAAAGCCCTCAGAACCACACCCCTGACTGACATTTTTAATTCATTTACTACAGCCTGGTCCTATAATCTAATCACCTCTTCAAAGCTCCACCTTTCAATTACCGTAACAGGACATCCCACCCTCTTAGCAGTCACAGTGGGGCCATGTTTCTAATACATAAAACTTGGGGGACACAATTCAAGCTTTAGTGAATTTTGGGGGGACATAATTCAATCCACTACACTCTCTGAATCCCAGTTTAGGTGCTGGACTCCATATGTATGTGCCTCTATGCTAATAGTTCCCTCATCAGTAAAATGAGTCTAATAATAATAACCACCTCGAGAGGTATGTCATGAAGATTAAATGAGTTAATTTATGTATAGTGCTTAAATTAATGCCCTCCATAAAATGAGTCTTATAAAAGTTATCTCCGGTGTTGATAGTGATGAAGATGATAATGACAGATGTGGATGATGCTTATCCACAAGACAGGAATGATGATGAAGGATTGTTGTGAGGATTAAGAGAGATACTGAATGTAAAAGCTCATAATATACTCCTGATTTGTGGTTGGTCCTGGGTAAAGGGTTGTTATAAAACTCAAAAGATACATAAATATATTAAAAAAATGCTAAAAGAGCCCATAATCTCATAACCCAGATGTACACTGTTACATTTTGATAGTTATCAAGACACATAGACACACCCATACTAATTATAGGCAAACCTACAGTTTAAATGTTATGTGGAAAAAACCCCACATTTTGCATTTTTTTAAAAACATAAAACTTGTACCACAGGAATTTCTTCCACACGATGAATGGTTTTTTAAAACACCATTCTTAGTGATTGTATTTTGTTCTATTGTATGCATGTAAATAGGTATATGTCATATTTAACTATTAAGTTAACATTAAATATTTGTTCTTCTCCACTACACAAGATACTTCGCTATTATCAGTATATTTCCACAGTGCACATCTTTGTACATGACTGCATTTCTGTTTACTTTGTTTGGATTCATAGATGTGTAATTATGCGGTAAAAGTAAATGCTTCTTTTTTTAAAGGAAGTTGATATGAAAGGGCAAATTGTGTTCCATAAAAGATGTAGAAGATTGCGCTCTCACAAGAAGTGTATGATAACATTTTTAACTATCACATTAGTAAAGCTTTTTTTTTTTTTTTTTAAATGAAATTACGATTCAGAGCTTTGGGCTCATTACATAGAAAAATCTATCATATGGTATGTCTGGAGATATTTCTTTTGGTTAATTAAATTTTCTGGTTAATAGAGTGTTACCAAACATATCAGGCATAAATTATTAGTCTTGTAATAATTAGAAGAGGCCTATGCTGGGTTTTCAGCCACCACTACAAATGTTATAGATTATATTTGTAGCAGAGTGCCTGTGAGTAAGAAAGCTTTTCTTCTGACATAATGTCAGATAATTAAGATTTATTATATCTCATTCTTATCAAGTCAATGTGGATGTGTCCAGGGGGTGAGGAAGGAAAGATGGGAGCTAAAATGGACTATAGATATTCTTGGCCAGCAACTCACATTGTGTCATCTCACTCCATCCCCATGAAAGTGCTTGAAAAGGTATGATTAGACTCATTCTACAGATGTTGAATTCAGAGTTTAAGTTACTTCTGAAGGCTACACAACTGATAAAAGGTACTATGGGTATCAGATTCAGTCTCTCTGGTGCCAAATTCCCTCTCCTTTCACTTCACTGAGCTGCCTCCTCAGGAATATTTTTGCAGAGGAATCATTCATTCTGTGGTTCAGATGCTGCCCTGAGAAGGTCTTGATGGTTACAAGCAGTCAGGGGAGGAAATGGCAATGGCACCCTGAGGATGGAATTGTAGTTGGAGCCTGTTGCCTGCTGGAGAGAGTTCACAGCCACCACCTACTAGAAGGAGAGGCACATGCTGGTGTCGTGGTCTGAGCAGGTCCCCATCCTTTCATGTTGTAAGCTGAGACTTGAACGAAATACTGTTGGCCCTGCAAAGTATTGAAATAGTGTGATGCATCAGGCATTTTATTTAATTGCTTTTACTCTAGTAGCAGATCGCTGTGTTTGATTAACTCATTCATTTAGCTTTCTGGCTTGTCTTGACTATTATGTTTATATATTATAGTAACCATATTTGAAGTGCCCTCTTCATTTCTATGTACTTTCTTTTTAACAAAACAGGAATATCATAATTACTTTTCTTGACCCCTCAAAAATTATATACTGATTTTTAAAAGTCAAGCAGTTCTACAAAGCTTACCAAAAATAGCAGTCCCCCATGCTTATCTCTTTCTTCTATTTTCCCCTTTCCAGAGTCAACAACTATCACTTCTTTTAGCTGATCAACTTGCTTGAAAGTTAACAAATTGTAGTGAATATCTTTTCAGATTAGTGCATCAAAGACTTCAATTTTAAAGCTATTATTAAAACAATGATATTCTTTAATGCCTTTTTATGACATTCAGAATTGTTTTTGTTTGCTGCTAATTTAAAATTTTTTTTATGGTTTTATATTTTGCTTTGAAAAGTATTTTTTTTTTTTTTGATGAACCCAAAAGGAGCTGTTGAGAAGCCAGCATTTGATGAAACATTGCTTGCAAAACTTGTAAAATGGTGTTGAAGTTTAAAAAAAAAAAAAGCACATCTTTGTAGAGCTTTTGCTAGGGATTTAATAACATTGATGTTACCATATGATGAAGTTTTTTATTTTTTAACATTGAAAATGGGTTTCTATGCACTTCAAGGTTATAGACATTATGTAGAAGTGTTAATCTACTTCTAGGCTTTTATATGATTAGGATAGTGTCTGCCTTGTGCTGATTGGATGGTCCGGTGGAAAAACTTAATTCCCATGGAAATTAGTTAGGATATTAGAGAAACTCTCCATAGAAAGTTTTCCATTTTTATAACCATATCACTTTTTCTTTTAAGCAAAGGAAATTCCCTAGGGTTCTTTCTGGCTCTCTTCCATGATAATAAGCCATAGGGTTGAAATCAGTCTTCTCTTGATAGCATCTCTGGGGGGCCACCCATTCAGGGGTTTGTTTACTCTGGTAATCCACAGTTCTGGCCCCTGGTATAGATGTGCGACTAGGACTAAAAGTTAGTATTCTGTGGTGGTGACCTAACCAGCAAGAATTCTATTAGAATAAGCTGGTACAAACTTGAAGAGATGCAACCTAATGTAGTTTTTTAATGCTAGCTTTTAGGATTATACTTTACAGATAACTGTTTTAATTGACTAACCTTTAAGAAAACAACAGCAATGACAAATTTTCCCTCTACTTCCCCCATATGAAGGTCCTAAGAATCCTAAGATATTAATTATTTGAGTTGAACAAACATACAAAAAAGGTTTGATTTAAGTTTACTTTAAAAAGATTTTCCTAAAAAATATTTTTTATCTTTTACCTTTTAACTGAGGAAATACAGGGTTTGCTCTGGTTTGAACTCATTTCCTAGGTGTTCTTATTTTTTGCATTTCATATGCTCATATGGTTCATAGTTCCACAAATAATTAATGCTTCAGTTTAAATTGGTTAAACAAATAAGCATGATTTATTCCAGTTTTTCATTCACAGTTTAAACTGGTTTAGGTTACTGAGAAATGTAGCTCCACCATATATAGTTTCTTTTTTGTGAAAGCATATTTAGACAGTTTTTTTTTTAATCAAGGGAAAAGGATTTCTCTCAGGAAATTGTGTGACTCTAATTGATGACTGATCTCAACTGAGGCTGTCGGGGTGAGGGTTAGATGAGGCTGTTATTTTTACCATCAGACAGGGAGTCAAAATTGGATCCCTCAGAGCCTTTGATCCCTCCCAGAGATTAGAGTATGATCCAGAAAGCAGCAGCTTTCAAGACTTGCATGAGGCCAGTCTTTTTCTGATCTCCTTAGAACATGGCAGCTTGCAAAATGGTTCATGCTGTCTTCCTACTTCTTTGTGAATTTTAGATTATGGATACCAGACATATCATGCTTAATGAGTGACAGTTGTTGCCAGAGGATTGGGTGTTGGCTGTGGCTTCCAGAGTAGGCATTTGCTATCAGCATCCCAGCAGAAAACACAGCAACAGGGGAATGGGAAGTCTACTGTGAGGACACTTACCGTTGTCAGTCCTGTGATTGTACATCTCAGTGTCTGCAGATTATCCATGATGATTTCTCCAACCAAAGGACAAAAGTCTTTAGACATGCTCCATTCCACTGGAAGGAGAGAGAAAGAGAGAAAGAGGGAGGGAGGAAGCAGGGGCGGGAGGTGGGGAAGAGAGATTGATTCAGTCATACATCAAGAAGCACCATAGAAACTCTAGCATATAATCCCTCTCAAAAACAGTAAATTTACCGTCCTTCCTTATATTGGTACATCTAAGAATCCTCGTTGTGATTTCAAGTCAGTTTCCAAATTCACAATTATTTTTTAAAAGAAGAGCAGAAAAAAGTAATAATTCAATATACCTTATGAGTTTTCTGAACCTCAATAAATATCAAATATATTATGGTATGTGTACATGTATGTGATGTTCTTAATGTGAGACATAATCTATATTAAATATATTGCCCATGAGGCCATAGCTATATAAAGACATAGAATGTGTGTGTGTGTGTGTGTGTGTGTGTATACTAAAAAAGCTAAATTATTTACTGTATGTGAGAAGTGAAGGGTATATTAGGACATTACCTTTTATTCATTCCCCAAGTTTGCCTTCTGCTTCACCATTCTACTGAAAATGCTTTCAAGGTCCCAGTGACATTCTCATCCCAAATAAAGAGGTCTCCTTTCATTTCCTCCACATCATTTGACACCTTCTCCTTCTGGAAACATTCTCTTCCTTTAGTTTCTCATAAGCTACTACTTCCTCCTCTTTTTCTCCTCCCTGATACCTTCTTCGAAGCTTTTTCACTGGCTTCTTTTCAGCCCTAGGGTCTGGGGTTTACGGCTGACCTGTTCAATGTTCTTCTCCCCTAACATCCCCAAGGTGGGTGCTCATTCACAGTTAAATCATGCAAATTCCAACACCATATTTTTCTGTGTTCTTTCATAACATTTTCCATTGGTTGAAAAAGCCATGGTCAGGAAAGATAAATTGTGTATCATCAGTAAAAAGTGCCTTAAGTAACAGCTGACACATGGTGGGATTTAAGGCAAGTTGAAATGAAACTGGAGCTTAAGTCACATGGGAAACAAGGCCTCCATGTTTCTAAGCCTCATAATGGCAAGCTATAGGTCTTAAGATTTAAATTATATTCTCTATGATACTTTGGTACATCAAAACTAAGCCAAGCCAAGCCATTCCCAAACCCTGCTGCTCTCCTCAAGTCACACATTCCTCTGCTTTAGAGCTGTTGCCCCTGCATCCTCTGCCCTTCTTGAGGATGCTCCTAGGAATCTTGAAAATTTACTCTCTTGAAAATTAATTCCTAATGCTCTGATAATCAGTGACAGCCTTTCCTTGGGAAATCCTGCCACCTTTGGTTTTCCCTACTTTTTTTTTTTTTTTTTTTTTC